TGCTAATATAGCCATATCTTTAATTCTATTTCCCTTACTAAGTGAAAACAAGAGAGGACAATATAGTCCATTTAAAACAATTTAAAACCCTATTGATTTCAATGGGAGAGTTATGTGCTTAAGGATCACCTTCTGAAATAAGTAACAGGACTTTAAATTGGATAAATTTGAGGTCGATCATAAGGGCTGCCATAAGTCAAAATCAACTTGGTAGCATGCAATTATTGTATAACGTTCTTCTGTGACTCTTTTATGATTGTGATGTAGAATGAATAATGATAGTTCCAAAGTAAATCACAAAGAAATGTTAACTGTTTATTCTGATAAATAGAAATATTACAAATTTACAAAACACTGTTATTATTTATTTACAATGTATCCAGTCTTTGTTTTTAAAAAGTTTATCCAGCTATGAAACACTTGTGCCTGGTTCTCACCCCTTGCTTTGTAGTATAAAACAAAAGCTGTTTCGTAAAGTTTACTGTCTTATCCAGGAAGAGAAAATAAACCATTTTTGCACCTTTTTCTGGATCTCTGATTGCAAGTTAAGATTAAAGAGGAGGAGGAAGAGAAAGAAAAATATTACAGATTCAGTTACCTTGTGTTCTCAAGATGTTTACAGAGACTAAAAACTAAAATGCAAATTAAGCAGCTGTTGCTATGCTACCACAATAAGTTACGCACGGTAACATTACAAAATCCAACAAGTATATTTGGCCAGTCACAGTAAAATTAAGACAGCTAAATTTCACCCATCATTTTTTTAAAGCTATTGTCTGCCAGATCCGGTAATTTCAACTAGCCCAGTCAGGGACAACGCAATCGGATACTCCTCTGTAGCTTCGTTCTCAACTGCTTTCTTTGTTCTAAGGTTTTCAAGAATATGTTTTTAAAAATAAAAAGAAGAAAGACAAACACTGATATAACACTGGAGAAAAACCCAATTTTAAATGTGATGCCGATTCGCAAGAGTGATCTTCAAGAAGGCATGCTTGGCATTGGGACGCAGCTCAGCATCCTTCCTTAAGCAGGTGGCTGGACTCTTAACCCACCAGAGTTATGTCGGGATGCATTCTTTGAAGACTTGCTTGTCCTCCAGGCCTGGTTAGAAAGGAATGCCAAGGCTTTATATGTTTGTTTTTAAGAAAAGGCATCCCCTCAAAAGCAAAATTCCACGGTGGGTGCCAGAGCATTCCAGGCAAACAAACAAACAAACAAAACCAAATTCACTTCTATCACAAACAGTTGCGGTGGGAAAGGACCACGCACATCTACGGCAGAGAAGGGGAGGGCGGGCTCCTGCTTTAGACGGGGCCCCGGCCAGCGAGCGGCTCAGAGGGTGCTCAGGTGAGGCAGGGTGTCCAGCTTGTCGGCTCGGTCCCGGGCGGCGGCGCGCTCGACCCCTCGAAGCCATTCGGTGCATTTGCGCACCAGCCCTTCGCGGGCCGTGGAGGCCCCGGGCTCGCCCCCCGCCGCCTCCTCGTCCTCCTCCTCCTCGTACTCCACGTCGTCGTAGCGATGGCGCTCGTTCAGCAGCGAGACCTGGAGCAAAGCGCGCAAGTCTCCGCCGGCGGCCGGGCTTCCCGCCAGGGGGCGCTTGGCGGCG